GCCTCTGTGCAATCTAGAGTCATTTCATTCATATCTACTTTCTTCAAGTAGATATGATACTACTATACTACCTGATACCCTGGAGGCCTGCTGGATTCATTCCCACCCAGTCATGGCCATGCTATCTAAGGATGAGAACTGTAGTCTAAAATATCTGAAGGGGTACAAGGCAAAACCAGTGGAATTAGTAGGTCTACATCAAGGAGCTAATGCTGCCTGTCAGCAACCGTGTTCTTGCACTCTCGGTATTCAACAAAGCTCTTTGTCCAACCTTACTTTAGGGGTTTTATTGTTGTTCCTTTTAATTTTTTTTTTTTTTACAAAGGAGAATCTGGAATGCTGCAAAACTGAGTGAGGGCAGTGATGTCACTCTTTCTGAATTGGCCTGACCAGGTTTTGGGCTTGTCCCAGATGATCTTGGGCCTGACACATGAGGATGAAAACATGTTAGACTTTGCCTCTGCTTTGGAAGAGTTGCTATGTGAACTAGATGTGGAGGTATTACCATCAATATTTTGTCATGATCAGATCACTTCCTGGTCCAGCTGCAGTTGATGGCCACCCATGATCTCCATTGGGCTGGACCTATTCAAATGATCTGTGCCAGGGACCTCATGAATCTGGGTGGTTTCTGGTGAGTACTTGGGGATTTTCCTGATAATCTGGTGGGCAAATTTCCTGAGGGCCTAGTTTGCTGTTGGCACTGTGAGGCGGGCTGGGTATTTGAAACCACCCTAAGTTTCAGCCAATTCCAGATGGTTCTTTGGTTCACTGCAAGCCTCTGAGAGATGAAGTGGCAGAAGTGACACCTAGAACACCAGTAGAGGAAATAACAAATAAATCTGACTAAGCATGGGCATGTGCCCACATTTGGGCCTACTCGGTGGTAATAAGTGTTTTCACTTCTCACTTATTGCATCATCAGGTTCTTGTCCAGCAGCCGTGTTTCAGGTAGCTAATTTCCTGCTGAGGAAAAGCCAGCATCAAGAACCCCTCCTGGCCATTGTGATCTGGTGCTCAAATTTACTTAAGTCTTGACTCTACAAGGGCAGGGTCAGGGTGGTGATTAGGGAATCCTTATACCCAATTGTCTGGGATTTCTTTTGGCTTGTAACCTCCAATGAAGTGGATAGGGTGCTCTCTAGGGTGTCCTCTGCCACCTGTGGGCTGGATCCTTGTCTTTCTGTCCCTTTCACACATCTGGATGGAGAGACTGTTTCTTAGATTTGGGAGCTTGTTAACCTCTACATGAAGTCACTAGGAAAAGTAATCTGGCAGTTTGGGATCTGGTATTATCAATATGCTGATGATACACAGGTTTACATTGCTGATCCCAAGCCAGGGGTAATGATGCCATTGAAGTTCCGTCGTGGTGCCTGAAGGCTGAGAGGATCTGGATCAGCAAGAGCAGGCTTAAATTGAATCCTAGCAAAACAGAGTTACTGTTAAATCTCAAAACCCCTGAATCCTGTTATTATACAGTAAGGTAAGAGTTCCAGTAGTCCTTGGCAGTGTCTGTTCCTGACCTGGCCTATCTTGAAGGACTGACATGTTGGAATCAGCCTGGCCAATTTGATCTAGCTGGGAGAAACTGCAAGTGGTTCCCCACTTAGGGAGGTAAGGGGGGGGCAAGGCTTGAAGACATTGCTTATAGGTGACAACACCAGTCCTTTGGAGTGGTCTCTCAGTGGACATGAAGTTGATTACTGCTTTGACTGTTTCCCAGAAGCAGAGCTCTTCCAGAGTGTGTGGGCTATATTGTGTTGGCTGGGTTTATAGATTGGTTTTTATTTATTTTCCACGTTTAACTGGATTGTGGATGTTTTGTGTATTTTTATCTTTGCAATCCACCAAGAGTCCTTTGGGATTACGGCAGACTATAATTGTGATAAATACATGTTTTGTATCAATCAATCAATCCCATGTACCCATAAAATATGTGAGGCTTCATTTTGTATGGTAAGTTTTACTAGAAGGAAAACATTTAATGTACCATTAGACAAAGTTTTATTTTGTGTATGAAAATCACAAGCTCTTGGAATCACCTACTGTTGGGAATGATACCTTCTGTTTGCTGAACGCAAAACAAGAGTGCCATCTACTGACAATATTTCTGTGATTTGTGTATTTAACTTGCATACTCCAGGCTCTTACTAAAGTTCTGTCTTTAAAGTTCTGTCTTTATTCTAAGGTTCATTGTCCCATAAGCTCTCTCATGATACTGTTGTACTGCATTGTGAAGGAAACCGCTTTCTTAGCAATTCAAAATTAAGTACACAAGTGTTCTTAAATGCCTGTTTTTAAACACAGATACATTTAAACGCACAATGATATATTTAAAAAATAAAGTGCTGCATAAAATGTGAAAGCATGTTACAATACTAAGCAGTGAATTTTAAAATTTATTTAGACACTGATCAAAAAACCATGAAAACATAACAAAATAATCTGAAAGTGAAATATACAAAAGCAATGCAAAGACTTGTTATATACATACTTACATATGTGCATTTGTCATGTTATATACAGAAATTCAACTTTGAACATTCTATTCAAAAGGAAATATATACCAGAAAGAATGAAATTTGGACCTGAAGCCCTAGTCCCAGACTATAAGGATCTGAGTTTTCTGTATTTGATATAAACATTTTATGTAATATAGAAGAGGTTCCTTTGATTTTAAATAATGTGGACACATTCCAATCTTCAAACACAATAAATGTATTTATCTGGTAGATTGCATCTTAATTTATATTAAAAATAAGTTAGCTGGAAATCAAATTGGAATTTGTAAACAATATATTCAGGATCAGTGATTTTTTAATCCTGTAAAATCTTCTGTTTTCATAACTCTTGAATGATCATATTTACTGGTGTTTTTAAATCTGTATTATTACAGTATGGGAAAAGATAGGAAATACACCAGAACCATTTTCAACTTTTCCAGTCTTTGAAAGTAAGTTTTAAATATGGATTTGGGATAGTAAAGTGTTGTATTAAGAAATGACTTCTATTTTTCATGTCCCAAACTGCACAGCTAATAAAACCGTTGAAAATATAGGAAAATAAATTCTGTGTAAGAATACAGACAGACAAGAATTGAAGATTGTATTACCCTTGCTACAAACCAGTGCCATAACACAGTTGGGTAAACATATGTGAGAAAGGAACTAGTTCACCCAAAATGAAAATCTGGAGGATCCAGAGTTCTAAAAGCACCAGTTCAAAACCAGGGCTGTATAAAATGTCCTCTGTGAAACATTTTTGTGCTGAAATAATGCCTTAGGGATACTCAAGGTCCTAAGAGGTTTCTTCAAACTTACTATTTTATTTAGACACTGGAACTGCTTCTTAATGAATTTCAGCTAATTAAGGAACTTGTGAATATTCACCAAAGGTCCTGATTTATGTGATGTTATTAAAGGCATCCAAAGCCAATTCAGAATAAGAGACAATAATTCCTGTGTTGAATGCTTCACTACATACGGAAACAGTAATATAAATACTTTTCAGCCCATTCTGAAAATCAAAGCAAGTTTACTTTCTTTTTAATAACTTGCAAACAGATCTTGAACTCTGTCAAGTCAGACTACAGTGTATTTACAGGGAGACAGAATGTCTTAATCCTGTAGATAAGGAATGTGTTCAACAATTTTTAAATTTAGGAAGTTTAGTGACCCAAGGAAAAAGAGAGAAAAATAACAAGCTTCAAACCTGTGCCATTAGGTATAAAGCCCCTAATTCTTCAGAGTAAGCTGCCTTTGCTTACCTAGTTCAGTATTTTCTCCTAGTATCAATTTATGGTTTGCTTGTTTCTTCATTTTCTTGCCCATTCAGAATGGTGCATTTTCTCCTCATAATCAAGACCAAAACAATAATCCAATATAGGAAGAAACTCTGACCATAAATAACACCAAAATAAATATATGTCTGACTACAGCAGATATATAGAGGGTGGACTAGGCTGACCAGATGCTAGACCATATGATAAATACAAAGAGTCATGGCGCAGTATAAAAAACTGGGCATTTATATGGTGCAGCTGGCTATGCATAATCCTTTCCTAATTTATGAGGCTGGAGCATCTGGTGTGTTGCTGTCATGCGATCTGAATCTTTTCCCCCAAGCAAGCATATCTTTTGTGTATCAAATTGTAAAAAGCTACACTCCCAGTCAACTAAATGACAATGTAATTGGAGATACTTTATCCCTAAGCTATTGCTTGCAATATCTTTTAGCTATAAGGATACAATTTCAGAAGTTTTGCTCCTAATTGGCATAGCTGTCATTTTATGGATAATTTGTTGACTGAGTTGTTGCAAGTCATAGTCTTTCCAACTGAAAAGGAAACTAGGTTGTCTCTACTACCTAACACGTGCTAAAACAATCCAAAGAGGAAGGTTAAATTGTATTGGATCACAACAAATCCACAATACATAGTGTGACTCCATACCTGAATTGAGGCACTGACAACCAGTCATGAGGTCAAGAAGATACACAAGGGGAGTAGGAGACTGAGAGGAGAGAATCTATGAACATAACCTTATAAGTCAATCCATAAAATGCTACTGGTTTGCTAATGAATGATTTTCAGTTTGTTTTTTGCTAACAAAAAACGGTAAAAGCAGAGGTGTAGATAACTTTACAGGTAGTCCTTGCTTAATGACTACAACTGGAACCAGCAACTGTCGCTAAATGATGCGGTTGTTAAACAAGACATCATGTGACCATGATGGACTTACAACCTCACTTCCACTGTGGTTGTTAAGTGAATCACTTGTGTTTAAGTGAGACATCGTGTGACCACAACATGCAATTTCACTGCCAGCTTCTCCATTGACTCTGCTTGTCGGAAGTTGACTGTGAAGCACGCAAATGGCAATTGCGTGACTGTGGATACTGCAGTGTTAAAAACGCTTGCCGGTTGCAAAGTGCCTGAATCTCGATCATGTGACCATGGGAATGCTGTGATGGTTGAAAGTGTGAGGACCAGTTGTAAAGTTACTTTTTTAGCACTGTTGTAACTTATGAACAGTTGCTAAACAGGGCAGTCATTAAGCAAGCACTACCTGTATTATTTTCCTTATAGTCTTTACCTGGATATAGTTGCTACAAGATACGTACTGTCAAGGAAAGCTATCCTGTAATAAAATGATAGACATCTCAACAATTGACATCTATTGGGGTTCCATCTTTGATTACTAAGATCTAAGTATTACTGATTTATATCATACCTTTCCTCACAAGATCAAGGCGGTGTAGATAGCAGTCCTCCATTCTCCCACTCCAACAACCCTATGGGAAACACTGGATTGACAGAGAATGACTGGCCCAGTCACCTAGTGAACTTCCGTGACTGAGGGTAGACTTGAACCTGGGTCTCTCTGGTCCTAGTCCAACACCTTAACCACTACAGTTCACTGCCTCAAAGTAATTTTAGTGTTACCAAACTAGTTACAGTCAAAGGACAATGGAATTTAAACCCTTGTTTGTAAAGCAGAATGAACTGGTCTAGCTTCACCAATCTGGCAATTTTCAGTTCTATCTGGAGTGCAACTCTCAGATTTTCATGTTTCCTGAGGATTCTGGGAATTAATGCTGGCTGGCCATTTCATTTGTCACAGCTATAAACAATTTGTATAAAACTTTCCAAGACAGAATGAAGATTAATAATCATATGGCTAAATATTTAAATGTAGGCACTAAACAAATGGTTCAAGTATTTACCATGCTTAAATATCTGCAAAGGTAACGTATGTTCACATACTTATGAGTCATATTATATGGTACATATCTAATACATACAGAAACCAGTAAGCTATTTTACCTGAAGTGAAATTGCTTGAATACAATATAGCCCCATCTACTTGTTATGGTCTTTCCAAGTCCTCCCTGGAAATGCCCTGGCTGAAAATTATACTTTTCCAGTATTTCCTTACAAGTTGGGCTTTTTGGAATTTTCTCCTGTCAGCAAAAAGCTAACACTACAAATCTCCCCTACTATGCACAGAAGACTACACTTGTTGTAATACTCCCACAGCCTCTTCTACTGACCAATATAGAGAGAAACCTCTGGTCAGTTAGTCCTATCTTTAATACCTATCATACCTTTGGCAGGAGAAAAGGAACTGCTCTGAGAACAAAGGGCAAAATAATGCTGTCCAGCTGTTCAAGCCTACCAGCACCCAATCATCAAGGCTGCTGGCAAAGAACTATAGAATTTATAGTCCAATTTTTTTTAGAAAATACCAGGTTCTTAATAAAAAGGCTGTCAGGGCACCATATTGGTATATCATGAAATAACTGTATTAGAACCTTATGAATATCTATTCAAAATGAAGAGAATACAATGAGATTTATTTTTTACCAAGTAAAAAGGACTTTTTACCAAGTAAAAAGGACAATAGGACTGTATCTTCAGTTTAGCACATCTCAGGTTTCATACCATAAGACTATATGAAGTCTCACTGTACTGTGAGGATTAAAGTGCTCACAAGCATGGCCATGGATGCTTCTGATGAAGTTTCTGATAATGCTCTTTTATAGGAAAAATTGTTTCCCCAATTTTTGGACGGTAGTCAGAATTCATCTCTAGAGCTTGAGCCAATCCAGTGGGGTTTGTCATACCCAGATGCTTTTATTGAGCATCCTAGGACTGTACTTCGTTGGACATCTGCTTTGGAAGGATCCTGATTTTGAAGACTGCTATGTGTGTCTTGGCCAGTGAGAGATTTTGAGTAATCCATGATACTGTCTTCATGAATCTGTTCATTTTCATGGATTTCTGCACCCGTGTCCTCTTGGGTGCTCCCTTCTCCTTGAATTCCTTGGGAATCATCAGCATCTGCTTCTTTGCCATAATCACTGGGATCAGTGGTTTTTACCTTCTCAGTGACATCTAATTTCTCTACTGATTTTTCATCTTCACACTCTACCACTGGCTTGTAAGATGTTGAAGATATAATATCATATTTGCATTCTGACTTAAATTCAGCACTGCTGACTTGGTTTCTTACCACAGTAACCTTTAAAAAATGCAACAACAAAAAATCAGTTACCAGTTCCATTTTCGAGCTGCCTAAGGTGGTGAAGTAGGAATTATAGGAGAGGGCTACCACTGTCCCAAATCTGACAGGTGAAATTTGGACAGAGATGTCTTAACTTGTCTAAGGTTTTTCTAGTCCATACTGAATGGTTTCCCTCTGCCCTTGTAACTCCTGTAGCACTGTCCATGCATTGTAGACCTTTCATTGAAAGGCTACGGAATGAATACAGAGCAAAGAGGAACACAGAGCAAAGTTAACACATATGACTATATACTTTAAGTGGTGTCTATTATTTTGGCATAATTAGCATATTAATTAACACACTGAGAGTCTGTGTATGATTGTGTCGGGGTATAAATGTGATATATAATCAATTCATGAATCAGTAGTCCTGAAAGACCAGGTTAGGAACAGATCATCATGGAGAAAACATATCTATATGATTGTTAAGAATCAACAACTTGATGGCATATAATAAATCAAAAGTCCATATCACTGAAACATGGTGAAATTTTCCCTCATTTATTGAATAGTGAATTTTGAAGTAAGAAATATCTTTATAATACAATGTGCATTCTAAAGTTAAATATTTTATTTGACAACACATTATCATTTCTGGATTCTAAAATTCATAAATTGTTGGGCAATGAAAGTGACCAAAACATCTGTAGTCCATGATTCTCAAGTCACTTGGTTTCCGGTTTTAATGGAAAGTGAAATAAGACTGACTTAAGAAAAAAGATGCTGGAAAGACCAGCAATTAACATTCTGGACAATAATGATGTTACATTTATCCAATTAATATAAACTTTATATTGCTACTTCCTGCATGAAAACAAAGTAGCAATAACAACAATAACTCAATAGGTGGATAAAAATGCCAAATCCAGTTTAAACTTCTGGCTAACTGTGCGGCCAACCATAATACTAATACTATTACCATTACTACTACTACTACTACTACTAATGCTTCAAAGTAACCAAGTGCAACTGTTAAATGAACCCAGTAAGACAATAAATAAGAGATCTGCATTGAAATTCACACTCCAAGATTGATGGGAATACATATATTACTCATGCTGTGCTATTATTGGCAACACTGGTTGCGTTGCTTGGGGGTTTTCAGCATGAATAATACTTAAGAGAGATTCTGCTTCCATATACAGATCATACTAGTTGCTGGATTTGGTTGCCACAAGATCTTAGAATTCTGAAATTAGTATTGCCTAATAAATATCCCTTGCCTTTTGTTCAATTTTGTCTTATATCTGAATACAAAAACATACTGTCATATCATTATGCTCTTTCCTAGTATCAAGTTCCTGAGAAGTCTCTTAAGAACAGTAAGGAAGCTAATGGAAAACAACCCCCGCAAAGCTTGGATTGCCAGAATTAATTGGCATTCCCCCAATTACAGTGTTGAAACTAGTACAAACGGCTACTGCAAGACCAGATTTATGGTGTCCTTAAGCATCCAGAAATACTGGTATATGAGTTATTAGTGTCCGCTTTAATGACAAATAATTTGGCTAAACAAGGAACACCACAATGAACGTGTTTTTAGGACTCCACTATGTTCCTTTTTTTACTAATGGCTATCAGTTCATATTTAAACGTTATCTGATATATATGCTGGCTGAGTAAGTACTGAGATAGTGTGATGGAAGGCATGAGTGGGGAGGATTCTGGAAGGGAGCTTCAAGGTTACAAGGAGGGGGGAGAGACATTCCAGGGGAAGCACCTCCTCAGTCCCCAGCCGGAGTGTGTGAAAGTCAAGAGGAGGAGACTGGCCCCTCCCTAAGGGCGCGATGGTTATAGTTGCTGTCGTTGGGGGATTAGAGTTAGTCTGGCGAGATTCTTTCTCTTAGGTGCAAGCTAATAAGGAAGCTGAGCTGATTTCTGGACTGCCTCCTGTGATTCTTGGGCTGAACCTAACAGACAGGTACTAGCCTTCTGTGAACTCTGGGGGTAGTGAAGTGCCCTTGATGCTCTTCTCTGCAAGAAGGAGCCTCACTGCAGCAGTGTAAGGCTTACTAGCAGGCACTTCTAATGACAGAAATGTCAAACTCACAAACCCACTGCAATAGTATGTGAGAATGGGCTTGGGAGACAGGAGGAAGAGCCACAGCTTAGACAAATGGTCTGAAAAATGAAATTTGAATCTGAAGGAGGATGGGTGGTGAAAGCATCTCAGAAGGGACCTTCCCTAGTTTTCAGGAGAGTAAAAGTGAGGGATGGATGGGGTCCTTTCAGACTTGCAAGATTCTGTTAAAGTAACCTTACAATAAAGATACAGCTAGTATCCCAAAGGGAATGAAAGATATTGCGGTACCTTACCAGAGATTTGGGAAGCGTAATTTTTTTCTCCCGAAGTTTTATGAAGACCATGGTAAGAATGACTGCCAGAAGAAGCAAGACAACAGTTCCGAAACTTATCAACAATGTCAAGCCTAGAAAATTAAAAAAGACGCCTGCCATTATATTAAAATTAATACTGAATACAACTACCACCACATGATATACATTTTCTATACACCTCAAAAAGGCAGAAGATAGATATAGATAGCCAGCAACTAACTGGCCCTTATTTAATAAAGCATAATTAACTCATGCAACTCCCTATACACACAAATGTATGCAGCCACTGTCCATTTTCGCATAACCCAGTGCATTTAAATGGGTCTAATTATAAAATCATTTTATACTGAGGAAGCTAGCTTTGCATCATAGCAATGGTATCTTAGCTTCTACCCCGCCTCAGATTAGGATTAGAGAATACCAACATCTTCAAATGCCTCCATGGTAATATTTTGTTATAACGAAGAGAGCTGCAACTTTGGACAGCAGCTACAAGTACACAGATATAAGTAATTCCCAGGACAGGGATTAGGAAAAAAAAAGCTTCATGGAAAGCAAAGGCAACAGACGCAGTTAGAAAACCAAAACTAATATATACCACAGCAGAAATAATATCAATAGAAAAGTTTCACTCAACCTTAAGCCCCATATTAGTGCCTGGATGTTAAATTGTATATACATGTATAAAAATATAAGTATTTTGCAAAAAAAAAGAAAAAAAAGCTACTTAAAAAAAAAACAGCTCAGCACAGAATTGCCAAGTCCTGTAAAATACACTCAGGACTCCAACATTTCTTTTAATCAATATAATGGACTCTCTCTTCTCTTTTTTACTGATTTTAATTTGTTGGCAGGAATTAGTTGTTTCTGAATCTCTACTTTGCTTAATGCAACATTATAAACTTTGTAAATAATTGCAACATCAGCAACAGATACACTTTGGTAATAATTCCTACGGCTATGCTGATAAATCCTTACTGTCTCAACGGAGAACGTTAATATACCCTTCCTTTCAAGACACAGCCAGGCAGAGCATAGTATGAATCTAGTCTTAGGAATTCACGAATTATCATGGAACTGATAGCCAACCTTAGTTTCTACTAGCCACGTATGAAGTACAATTCAAAATGCAGCGTTATTATACATATTTATTAACACAGATACTGGGCTAGGTTGGATGCAATGCTAAACCATGGTGAATAAGCAGAAATATGTTGATGTGAAGCATGTATGAACCAGAAGCAAGAACCTGTCACAGTTGTTTTCCCTGAGCAGATTCCTGGCCCATCCTTATGTGCAAACTACAAAATGTGATTTAAATAATGCGTGGACAGAATGTGGCTCTCCACTTGTTCCTGAACTGCAATATTCATCATCCATCTCTATTTACCAGGGTTCCCCCCCCCCTTTTTTAGCAACCAGAGTTTATTTTAAACTATAAAGGAATCCACCACAGTGAAATCCTTCTCGCAACACAAATGAAGGAGGACTGCCTCAGTCTAGCCTTTCTCTCAGGCATCTTCCTGCCTGTCCGCATAACACTAATCATGGCCGAGTATGACAAGGCAGGCACAACTGAATGAAATTGGTGAAGTTATTTAGGGCTTACTTTTATTTTCTTCCTGTGATTCATTCCATTGCTTTCAACAGTTCTTTAAGTTTTCTATACATTATTCTTTTCTAATAGAAAATCACAATGTGGGAAAAATAGTTTAACAAATAACATGTTCATTTTAAATTAAAGAATTAAAATTAATTATTCTGTAATTAATTATTACAGAAATGAAGATGAACTGTTTTCAGAGAGACTGTGACACTCATTCCTGCAATGCAGCTTTTATAAGATAGAATTTACTTTCCATGTGTAGTTTTTCCAGCCTAAACTTCTCTGAAGCTCTTGGTCCAACAGACTTAGAAAAGTTACACTGACATATCTTTTTTTAAAATCAGAATTAATAGATTTATGAATGGACAGAATTGCCCTCATCTAGCACCCTTGAAATGGTATTGATTAGTTGTGACTTCAACAGTTAGTATGACAAATCACATAATATATTAATTCTTTCATAAGATGTCACTTTAACACCAACTGTAGAAACCAACAATTTGGAAGGATGTAGAATTTATTCACATTGTTTGTCAAGAGTTAAAACCTGCAGTTCTCCCTTCTTTTTTGATGGAATAGAAGCCCACTTAAAAAAAATGGGGGAGAGGAATATGCCATAATCCAGTTAAAAATTCTGCCTATTTCTCACAGTTCCTAACTATACATTTTGATTCTCTAGCACATTCTTTTAAAAGGACAATCTTTTGTAAATTTGGTTGGGAAGAAGTTCCACTGAACTCAGTAATGCTTAGTTCCAAGTAGACAAAGAGAGGTTCAACCTAGATATATACTGAACTTTACTTTTATCATCTCATTCTGCAAGCTGAAGTGCAAATATCAGCCTTTTAAAGTAAGATATATTAAATTAATCATCTCAGAATAATGGCTCTTTTCTCTCAATATTGCTAAGTGGAATTTATAAGCACATCAAAGAAAAGAAAAAAAAGAACCCAACTTCTGCTTTTTTGCTCTCTTCTGCCCCACTGGATTTTTCAATAAATAATACTTTGCAATATAACTGACAGAAAATCCTTTCCTGCAGGCATGTAAACATGAGATGCTGATAGAACTGGGATGGGCTATAGGACAGAATATTTTGCACAATCTCCTGTTTATTTTAAATTTAAAATCTTACCTAGGTGGTTCTTGGGAGAAGGAGAGATACACTTTTCTTCTGATTCTTCACCAGCCTTTGATATCACTGATAAAATGGCTTGAACGGAAATACAGTAAGAGGTATTCAAAGAAGAAATAGGAAGAGGTAAACTGCATGTCTGATCAAAGCAGTCCTCCCAGATAAACTCTTGTCGCTATAAAAAAGTGAGGTATATTACAATTAGAACTTCCTTTAAAAACATAAACATTATAAAGAAATGTTTATACAGAAATAAATATACAGCCGACATCTGCAAAATTTTCATTCTTCCTTCAAACCATTCTGAATTGCCTCTGAACTTAGCTGTTCTGGGGTGGTTCTGCAGTCTTCTGGAAGCAAATGCTCTGAAGTTCAGAGGCATTCTAGAAAAGGATACCAGATGAAACAAACTTGCTTTGGGGCTGGAACACTCTGAACCATTTCTCGCTCAAAGTATTTACTTCCAGAAAACTATCAAACCACCCATGGAGATGGCATGGTCTCCTGGACTGGTCCAGTTTTCTGGAATGTTCTGTTTCCAAACCCGTGAGTTCTGGATTGCCTAACAGGGAAGGTTCCTGCAGATACTGTCCTATGCCCAACAGAATGATCTGATACTTCACTCAAGTTTTTATAGCTGAAGCATTTTATTTTCTCTAAGTTATTCAAATATGGAGCTGTTTTCATTTACACTGCATGGACTAAGCTCCAATCCTATGGTTCCTGGAATTCACGTTTCTACTAACTTCTGAGACTTGATCATTCTGATATCAGGTATCCACAATGAGATGGGTTAGAAGGGTCTTATTGGGGATGTATTAACTCTTTTCTCCATTTTGAACAGACCAGGAAAGATAGCAAATGTTGTTTTCATAGTATTTCTACCCTGCCAGTGCAGAATCCCAGGGAGTAGGATTTTTCGGTTATATTATGTTGCTTCTAATATATGAGGCTGACTATCATTTTCTTGCATTTTCCCTTTTTATCTCACATTTTTATTTTGGTATAAATGTTCATGTTTTCTCACTCTATTACCCTACATCGATATTGCCCAACTTCCTTCTGATTCTTTTCCTATAACTATAATGTTTTTTAATGCTTAGTTTCCCCACTTCAATTACTATACTGCACTTTTTTTCAACCTTGCCTAATTTTCTTGGATTTCTCCAATTTACCAGCCATCTTGCCTTTTAACTTGTTACTTACCATAATTCTACATTTTCTTACTGGATTCCCTTTTGCTATCATGCCAATTTTAACTTTTACTCCTTGTTTTTAACAATTTATATTGGCCACCTCCAACAGACATGCTAAACTACAACTCCTGTCATGTCAACATTTTTGAAGGTCATCAGGTTGGGAGATTCTTATCTTATGTACTGGAAATCCTCTTCCTCCTCTCTGCTTTTCCATGTTCTCATTGCTCTTCTAACACTATTCCATGCACTTAGATTAAGCTTTCTACTATTTTTCCTCTCCTGTCTTCTGCACTTACTATTGTATTCCTGTGAGAAGCCATGTTTCTGCATAGACTAACACTTTTACGCAAATTCTCTTCTTGCAATCATCTCTTCTTCCATTCCCTTATCCTTATATATTGCTCCATTCCTTATTTTCCTTTTCTTAAACATTTCAAAAATTGGAAGTCTGTGAGTAGAATGTGAAGCACCTAGGTGCATTACTTATGTACATATTTAAAGAAACAAATTACATCACTGTTACTGTTACTGCTGTACAAAACAAAGGCATGCGTACTTCTTTTTAAAAGTATTATTATTTCTACTTGAAGCTTAACTAAGTTTGGATCCAATATATTGAATTTAGGATATATCTTACTGTGGTGAGCAACTAATTGTTTTGAATGTACACTGGACTGCCTCTTTCTGGTTGATAGCTTTTACCTTAATGCCAAAGACTATTCCCAATTTCTAGTATTTGAAGTGTACTGCTGGAAAGCTGATGTTACACTACCAATGTTTTAAATCATGTCTAGAATTATAAATATGAGGCAACTACCTACACGGAGCATAGAAGACAGTCCATGTGCTCAGTAGCGGAGCAAAACTACTAAAGCTCACTCAGCTACTTTAGAGCAATTAAAGTGAAGAAAACAAGTAACAAGTTTCCTCTAGCCTATCTGATGCTGGAGGAAAAGAGGCAATGGTGTAGTACGCCAACAAAATGGCTTTGAGGGACAGGAGGAAGAACCTCTACCAAGACAATGGTCAGATAAAAGAAACCTGAGTCTGGGGCAGAACTGTAACTGGAGAAAATGCCTCAGACAAGACCTCACTAGTTCTCATAAAGATAAAGGGGGGGGAGCACATTCAGACTTACAAGATTCTGTTACTGTATCTTTATAATAAAAATAATATTGAACTGCATGATTTTGGTTTCCTATTCTGGTCTACCTTGAAGGGCTGACAAGTTGACACTGGCAGGTGGCATTTTGCCAAAGAGGAGGTCATTGATAGCATACTGCATCACCTGCCATTCTCTACCCTGCAACCACCAGTGTCAGAGATGGCAGAAGTAGCCACCGCTAAACTCACAAGGATTGACTTTTTTGACTTTGGCATCAAAGTCACATATATTAGGGAGAAAAATTACCAACTTAAAATATACCTCTTCTGGGCTTCCATTTGGCCAAAGGAACACTTTGTAGATGAACTGGTCAATTAGGTCTTCATATAGACTGAGAGGTGATTCAATATTAAGTATAACATCATGATTATCAATGGAAAGATTGAACTTTGGAGGTCCTATTTGGCCTGAAAGAGTTGCAACATTTTCTATTAATATCAAAGGTTGACAACACAACATTCTAATAAAATATTCATATATATAAAAATAGACTGCAGTGGTATAAGTCAGTTTCTGGAAACAATCTGCAGACAATGCAATCAACAGTCCACTTTTACAAACTGATGAGTATGTCAAAAATCAAAATCCCATCTGTCTTATGAAACCCGGACAATGTAAGAATACTTTTGGGATGACATGCCTCTGGATCCATTCCAGTTAGTCCTGTGATGCTGCTGCCTGTACCCCATCTTGGAGGAAAATAAAAGTATCAGAATACAATTTCACCAGTAACTCCCAGCTCTAATAAAGTCCAATCATAGCAGGCTCACAAACAAGATTGAATCAATGGTTAGATCTGTAATGTAATATTATTATCGACCTTCAATATTCCTCCTGTATATCCCCACTAAAATGATTTTACTGACACTGAAATTCCTAGCTTGCCAAAATTTTGAAATTTGCTTCCATCTTAAAAATGAATTTCCTGGAAGCTACTTATCAATAAAAGTTCTGTGCAAAAAAAAAAAAAAAAAATGCTGAAAATCCTGCCCATCCCACCTTCCAGGAGCAAAGCAGGGAAGAGCTAATGTGCACCCCTTTCTCAGGAGGAGAAGAGAACTAGCCAGACTTAAAGGAGCAATGAAGGTACTGTTTCTTACTGAAAGAAGAAACTGACTCTGTCCCTACAACTACAGAAGCTGTAGGAAATATGCAGATATATTTGTTTTGGCCTGAAAAGAACCACTTCCTAACTGCCTCTTTAGACCAAGGGCAAATCTGCACAAACTCCTTGTCCTAGTTTGAGGATGGGCCACTAACAATGTCTGGATGCCAACACCTGTACTTCATAGTCCACCTGCAACTGAGGCAGCCTGAGGATGGCTCTGGGTGCTTCTCTTTGGAAGTGATTGTTTTCCCTCCTAATTCACCTCCAAATGCTGCAAGCAGGCAATGTAGGGCAAAATAATATTAATAATAATGATGATGATGTTGATGTGAACGGGGGAGGTGGACTGAAATTACATCAGTGCTAGCAAGCTTTTGGCTGCAAATGCTCCTGCCAGTTAGGGCTAGGAACTCTTCCCATCTAGAGCCCCCAGGACATAGGTATCATGAGGGAACACATGATGTGCATTATGATGCAAACGCTACCTCTCACATAAGGACAGAGGTTGTATGGTGGTGTCAAGACCCATGCTTCATCATTCTGGCATCATCTTGATTGGAAATGGATGCTTATGCCTCCAGATATTCTGCTGTCAGCCATGCCACCCAGGAATGGGATTGGCTGTCCCACCAACATAGCTGGAAGGTACCAGGTTGACAAAGGCTATATAATAATTTATAATAACATGTTAAAATAACCTTCAAAGCTGATGTTAAAAACCAGTTGCCACACTATATCATAAACTATAGAGACAGCAAAAACACTCTAATATTTAACTTCTAAAAAGTAGCAAATACTCTTGATCTAAACTTTACATATGAATGACCACTTACCATCCCTGAGAACATCAAATTTTTGTTCATTATATTTAGATTCGTGTTGTCCAGAAAGAGCTTTCACTCCCACCCAGAAGGTTTCACACTGATCAGTCTTGTTGGTGAGGTCACAATAGTGTTGTGTTATGTTTATGCAAGTATCAACTTCCTCGTAAATACCAGTGCTACCAAAAAGGAGGGGGAAAAAATCAAAGTTTATAGTCAAACTATTTTTAAAAAGTAAAAAGAAAATTTGTGTCTGTTGATCCTGTTGATCTACTAGGCAACAAAAAACAATCAATGACAAAATTGAGAAAAGCATTATAAAATTAGACACAGAGTTCTAAATCAAAATAGTTTTACCTGTAGCACGTGATCCGCACGGTAAATAGAGGCTTTGAGGATGAGTTTTCATAATCCCAGCATACAGAGATGTTGTAGTTATATGATTTTACAACAATATTTTTTGGAGGAGGAACTAAAAATGAAAAAAATATATATTTTGATGATACGGATTTCAGCCGAAAGGATGCTATCAGTATCCACCTTCTCTTACTGGGGAAGATTTTGAATCCTAGAAGAAACAGATGATCTAAACCCCTTTCAGTCAGATTTAGGCCCAGACGTAGGACAGAAACAGCACAAGGCACCATGACCTCTGTTGGAACCTGGATGTGGGGGAAATGTGCTCCTCCTGGATCTCTCAGCAGTGTTTGATATTGCTGACCACGGCTGCGAGGTTTGGGAGTACTATTTTACAATAATTCTGCTCCTTCCTTAGCATACAGTATCAGTCAGTGTGTGTGGGGAAGATATGTCAAGCCTATGGCTCTTCCAGTGATAAGGCTCTCTCCTCCATGCTAGTCAAGATCTGTATGAAACCACTGCAAGAGGTTATTTATTACTTTGGGTGAGGCATTATCAGCATGCTAATAATACTCAACTAAACATCACCATTTCAGGCCAGACTATGCCAAGGATACTATAGTGGTCCTGACCCAGTATCTGGAGGCTGAAGGTTTGTATGGGCCCAAACACGCACCAATCGAACAGGCAAGATCCCGATCTCCAAACTGACTCTGGATGATGGTTGCACTCCCTTTGAAGGAACACATTTTGAGGGACTGGGATGCCCCTGAAACAGTGACTCACACTCTTTTTGCCTCAAAGCTAGACTACTTCAATGTGCTCTAAATGGAATTGCCTTTGAAGATGACTTGGAAGCTGCAGTTGGTTCAAAATTCATGGTTTGACAATTAATGAGAGGGGTAGGTTCAGTCTCATTACACCTATGCTGAAGTTGCTGCACTGGGAACTTATAAGTTTCCATAGGCAATGCAAGAAGCTCGTTTTCAACTTTAACGCTCTATGTGGCTTGGTATCTGTTTACCTGGGTTGTTTCAAAGTGGGGTGATACAGAAATGCTGTTATAAATACATTTTAAAAATGTAACAAAAGGTGAATTGTATTTGCAGGAGTACTATAAAAATAAACTCTGCTTGTTACTGCAGCTTCCCATCTAACTGGAAGATATGTGATTGTGCATCTGAATTCCAAAGTCAGTCCTCTAATTAATAGAACTCTGCAGCATGAATGGGACACAGCCATCTCAGGTGGTCACCCTGCCCATGAGAACTGGGAAAGGAAACCTCCAAATTTCTGATATCAGAGAGACTTCCTCTTGCACTGGAATCCACAAATTATGTTTTTACTCATGTTATGCAATAAAGTCGTCACTCTGCACACTTCTTTGTTCAACACACACTGTTTTCAGTTAGCAAACTTCTTCATAAATGAGAGCTAGGGGAAAAATGTCCAAATTGAGCCTCTTCCACTGAAACATATCTTGAAAATGCTATCCTTTATCTTAAGCACGCATAAGATACAATAGATCCAAAAGATTCTGACTCTCTGGAACAGTGTTTGGGGGTGTTTTATCAAATAGTTTATTTTATATGGTTGTAAACAAGAGATCCTCTTTCTGCTTGCTGTTTTCAGGAGAGGAGAACCTGCAGATCTCCAGCTACTGCTGAACTACATTAGCATTCCTCACTGTTAGCAATGCTAACCAAAGTTGCTGAGACCTGTCATTCAAGAAAAGAGTACAGGTTCCTCATTCCTAAGACAAATTAGAAAAGAAAAAAGAGAGAAAAAATCATAGTAAGACCAGGTTTCTGCATACAAAATATTGTATTTCATAAGATTAAATAAGTCAAGATGTCTAAATGACCCCCTTTTTAAGGGATTTCCAGAACTGACACTAAAAAAAGAGACTCTTTAACAAGCCATTTATTTGTAGAAATACAGCTAAAAATTCCAAAACTCTATGTTTAAGCAAGGATGTTCTTGATTAAAATAATCATTTTGGAATTTAATTCATTTTGATGTTGCAACCTTCTATTTGGCCCTCCCCCCATTTTTCAAAATAGCATCTACATGTCTGAATTACTGGTCATGATCCCTGTACCTGGAAGCAGGGCAGAATAAGAGTGATTACACTGGTTTTCAGCAGAAGGGCCTATATGCCTTGTTAATTAATACCTGATATTATAATGGCTACTGAAAATATAAAACTGAGGCTTCTAATATAGTTATAGAAAGTGTTTCATTAGAATTCCAACTCAATAACTGAGTGCCTCCAAGTCTGCTTCTACTGACAGGCAGCCTGTGCAGAAATCTTACCAGAGTATTAAGTAGTAAAAACAAGTGGAAAATACTATGGCAAGAAAGACCTTAAACTCATTTTGTATACCCTGGACCAGACAATATTAACTAATTTTCATGGACAAACTCATTTTATATCCTAGCCTGCAAAATCTGCAATGAACAAGATGTATTCCACTCTTACTGCCTGGGCCAACTGCACACTGAACTTAGGCCTCCTAGATATAGAGACCCTCTGATAAAGTCAAAATAAAATGTCACTTGGGGGAAAAAACACCAACCTTCCATTTTAAAAATGGTGATTATTCTGTAGGCAGGTTTCAGTAATTATGCTCACAATGATGAGGACTGCATTCTTTGAAATTGCTGGGATCAGCAGTTATTACTCTAGCATTTCTACAGCTATCTTCACCTTCTTCAAAGCTTCAAACTGGGGGAAAGTTGGGGTTTCATTTGGCAGCTGTGCTGCTGAGATGTTGGACGATACTGGCAAACACCCAACTATCTTGCTTTGAAGCAGGGGAAGCAAAGAGAGGAGGGCTGCACGCTGCTGTATGAACATGTCTGAAGTGCTCTGAGCAATCAGACCAGGCACTGTTAACATCCCTGGGTGACCACCATCATATCCAGAGCCCTGCTGACCTGTGCTAGTTAGCTGACTAGAAGGTCACCTACTGACTACCACAGTCACTAACTGCTAGCCCTCCCCTTTTAAATTCTTCCTCCAATTTGCTCTAGCTGGGGGAATCAATTATGTCATCTAGAGATGACAAACTGTTCCAGAGGATGCCTGTATAAAATATAGCAGACACAGCAATACAATCCAGTTATCTGGATATCTGTAAATGGAATTTCTCCTAAGCCATTTCTTCCATGAAAACAACTATCGTACTGAAATGCACATGGTTGTCTGGGGACAAGATGCACCTCAGCATTAACACAAAGTCATCTTGCCTCCATTTTACCGAGTGCCATCAAATACACAACGGACTAGGGAGGCCATCCCGAGTTTTCTGTATTTGTATCGAACAATACCACTTCTGCTGGGATTTTTGTAAGTAACACTTTAGAACAAGTCAACCACTTAAGCACAACTCTCATTCCTGTGGCTTAACTCAACATGGCAAGCTCATTAAAAAGAAAGCAGGAATTACTGAAAACTTACACAACTTCAGAAACACCTTATTTATAACAAGAAGCTGCTGCTAACTGGCAAACAATGAAGAACCACCCTGCATAGTGAAACTTTAACTCTTGTGTACTTCCTTATTTGAAAAGGAAAAAAAAACCCTAACGATGTTGTAGTACAAGGATGGAGAAAATGGCAAATGCCTCATTCAGGAATATCTTATAAAAGGAGTATTGTAAAAATGTTTTTAAAAAGAATAAACAATTAAAAGTTTTCAACAACTTTACCTCCAATCCAGTGATTAGTTTTGTTTTGTCTTCTTTCCTGTGCACCTTATTTGGTGAAAATAAAAATCTAAAACCTACCCCAAAGGGGCTTTTCCTGCAGCCTTCCTCGGCTTTCATTTGAACTGAACTTCACTTCCCACAGACCCCAGCCATCAGGGCACTTGGTTGGAAAACTGGCTCTATTCCACAGATAAGTATCTGTGTTTTAGTGTTTGAGTGTGAAGGTCTTCTCACAAGTGCTCTAACAAAATGGCTGCCAATGAACAGAATTTGCCTACCCACCAGAGTTGCCACTGCCAAACAACAAAAGACATGATGTCATATTACTGAAAGTATTTTCCACAACAAAGTACTGGGATATAGACAAGCATCGTTTTTATTCTTTAACAACGATTTTATATAGGGCTACTGTTATATCGGGCCAAATTCACCTTTACTTAACAGAATTAAATAAAAGCACCTTGAAAAAGTAGCAGTACCAGGCAGGGCAGAAATGTAGGCAGATGCCAAGAGTGTGAATACATTTGCATCACTTTGTCTACCCCAATCAATCAGCTCTTATTCATGCTCAGAGCTGAACCTAGTAAAAAGATGTCCTTCAGCTGAGTACAACTCATGGTGACTTCTGGACGTGTCCATGTTGTTTTCTTGACAACAGTATGGAAGTGATTTGTTACTAGCTTCTTCTAATTTTTTTTTTAAAACTTCCCAGTGTAATCTACAGCCCTGGGATATTCTGCGGTCTTCCATCCAAGTACATATTAACCACAACAAAAGTCACTGGGCTATTTAAAGATCAATCAAAATAAATTATGACAAACATGTAAATGAGGTTCTGGTGAACTCTGATTCATCTTCACTCTAGTACAGATCTGAGAAATGACAAGACAAGGGTGCTGTGCACCTAACACCAGGGTATGTTCAGACAAATCAATCTGACATGAATAAAATCATGCCCCAGTATGGTTTCTCCAGTGCCTCCTATATGTGTTAACAGCCACTGTGTGTGTTAGAGAAAACCTGGTTATTTAAGCTGGTGTTTGAGGTCTGGAGGATGTATGCGGACATTACTAATGACAATGTTATGATTTTTATAATGTTGATTTATTAATATTACATGTATAGTCAATTGCACTCTGCTTTTGTAAGCATCTTAGTTTTGGCTTTTTGATTGAAATGGCATAAAATCATTTGTAAATAAATAATAAAAATCGGGAGTCGAAAATAAAATGGAAATTAATGGATTTGATCATGTTTTAAGGGTTAAAAAAAGATCAAAAGGGCAACTGGGAGAAAACCACCCCCAAATGCTTGCCCTTACTGTAGAAAGAAGTGAAAAAAGCAAGCAGGAGTTAAATAAGCAAACTGCCTGGGAAAACCGGAAGAGATGAGTCTCTTAGTTCTCCTGAGAATGGGGAAAAGAGACGTCGAAAAACAAGGAGGTTGGTAACGGTGGGTGCAGGCTTTTTTTGTTGATGTTATTTTTAATGAATTGATTAGATACAGAATCTAAAGTAGAGAGGCGAATCCACCCTCTCTGCCCCACATACGCTTCATACCCTCTATTTTCGCACAAAGAGCGGAGAGGCGACAGTAGGCAGAGAAAGTAGACAGGAAGACGCAAGAATCCGTGCACGGACTGGAAAACCAGATCAAACCGAGGCCTCTTCTGGCAGGGGTCGTTCTCCCCGCCCCGCCGCCTTGCAAAAACTGAGCGCGAGGCGTCAGCCCTGCCCGCGTTCACCTCCTCGTAACTCTCGGCCGCCCGCTTACCTTCCGTCTGCGGTTCCCACGCGCTAAAACCGCTGCAGAGGGTCCAGCCTAAGAGGGGGAGGACGAGCCAGGGCCCGACGACCCTCATTTTCTGCGCGTCACGTCTCGCTCGGGGCGCGCCCGTATTTCGAGACAGCTAGAAGAGCAAGACGAGGGCGGCAGCAGGGGGAGGCGAGGGGGGAACGGGACGGACGGACGAACGAAGCCTCCCACGGTTCCGCGCTCAGAACCGCGGCTGGGAGCTGTTCCCCCTAGAGGAACTCCACCTAGCTGGCGTCTGCCAAGAAGGGGTGGGGCAAATTCTGGACTTTTTGCAGGAGAGTCCCCGCTGATTGGAACTGGCTGAGGAAAAAAAGGAAGGGGGTGTTAACTGTGCTTTGGTTGGGCAATAAAAGCGTTATAAACCATGACTTCTGCTTGTTTTCCACTTTGTGTTTTTTATGTAAATACATTTCAACTGCACTCTTTTCTTGGGAAGAAACCCTTCGCTCACACCACTCCTAAGACCGCTGCATCACGCCCTTCCACTTTCGCTAACATATCTGGGCTGCCAAAAAATCCGGACGGCCACGTGATGGAAGAAAGGGGAAAACATAAAAGTCGGTTTCATACGGATTTTTGCAGCCCGGATATACAGTAGTACCTTAGTTCTTGCGTAGGAGATAAGCAGATATTTCCTAGGTCTATAGACGAAACTGAGCAGTCGAAAAAAAATTAAAATCAGCGGCAAGCCACATCCATCTTTCTGGCAAGAAAACTGCAGAAATGGATCTGTGCTGTAGCCTGGAATCAAGCTGGACTTCAAGGAGACTCATTTTTTATCAGTTCAGGCTAAAAGAGATGGTGGTTTTTGCGTGGTTGAATGGTTCCATCATGCCACCTCCCCCCTCCCCATATATATAAAAAATAAAACTGCATCACTAAAAGGCCACCCTTATCCTGCCATGCTCCAGTTATTCTCTGAGTATAAGAGTCACGCGATATTCTGAAGTATTACTCTGCACTATTCAGTTCTGCTTCCTGGAGAAGCTGTTCCAGGTTGTATCAAGAAGTTTTGCTTAAGGCTGTGTCATATTACAGAATTCTGAATCACTGTCCTTCCCGGTAGCGTACGTGCCATGCCTGTCACTGCCTGTCCACCTGGCAGCGTGATAAGATGTATAAGGTGTGGTGCCAATTACAGTAGCCAAATGCGGGAAATCAGTCTGCCAGACCTTGAAAACAAAACTGATGTTGGGGCAGAAACTGCCGCAGGTTGTCCTATAGATTGGGACTGTGAGATCAATAAATGGACATAATTAATTAATCCTAAGAGAAGGCCAGGCCATTCTGCTAATGTTTTGGGGACAGATGGGGGAAGTGGATGTGGGACCAAGAGTTCAGGACCAATATAGTCTGTTAACTGTATTTGGTACAGTTTAACAACAACAACAAGGGAACAAAACCTTACTTTACTAATCTTTTATTTCAGACTTTTCTGGCAGTTAGCCTCAACAGGAAGAACTGGCCAGTCTCCTTGCTGCTGTTTTTCTAGAAACCTCTCCATATTAAAAGAGATGTCCTGTTTTGCATGGCACCAAATTAGCTGGTGCAGCTGTATTTGCTGTTTCTTTTCATATACCATGTATATAAGGCCTAATTTTTATATGAAACTACTGCACTGATGAGGTCGAGTAAATTCTCACCATCTCCCGTCTTACTACAGTACTGTGTTGTCACCTGCAGGTTTTCCAATACCAGAAGTTAGTTCGCCTGGGAAAAAATACTTGCATCAACAAAGGGTAAAGAAAGGATCCACGTACAACTTTCAGTGTTTAGAACATCTTCCCTCATGACTCTGAAATGCAGGAATGAGGCAGACTTAAGTGGCTGCCTCTGTCTTATGTAATGAAGGCCAAATATGTATTCATCCCTTATATGTGGGATAACTGCAGATTTCTGTAGCAGTTGCATAATGTTCTCTGGAAGAATTTTGCCTTCTGAGAAACAGTTGTATCCAAATCAGCTTTGAAGTGAATGGATTTTTAACTTGCATATAGGTTCCTTGATAGCATTTGAAAAAAATAAAAGAAAAATAAGCCTTTCTTTTCAAGTTCTGTATCTTGCCTTAGAATGTTAATTATTTAAAATATTACCCATAAAACTAAAATGTTGAGGCACCCCTCCTAAGCTTGTTTACCCTCTCAACAATGGTCCTATGGTACTGGCTGGGAATTTTAGATGTTGAAATCTAAGTTGCGAAATGCTGAGCTAAAGTAACAGTGGAAGCAATTAAAATAATACAGTGAGCAACTCTGAAATAGGTGCCTTGAACTGTATTATTAAAAGTCCATACAAATAAAAGGGGCACATCTTAGTAACTAAAGCAGTCTGGATCTCATAAGCACTTCAGGAAAGAGCGTTCCAAAATTGTTTCAGCACCATACAAAAGGCTGTTTTTCTCACCAATATCTACTGCAATATCTATCTGGTGGTAGATACTACAGAAGGATCACCTAACAAGGCAGATCCAAAGGGAAGAACTGATCTCTCAGATATCCAGCATTTAAGCTAGATATTAATGGATCTTTCTGATTTTTCTGTGTGGAATTCCAATATTTCCCTTGACAATTTTTTTCCTTTTTAACGTATATCAAATATGATAGAGTGCGGGGCACAATCTGTGCCCTCAAAACCTTATGGCCATATCAAAGTTGCCTGCTAATTGTAGTTTTTGATATGGCAGAAAGGAAATTATGATTTACTTGTTCATTATTTTTTATTATTCCAAATTATATAGCCACCCATCTCAATATATGACTTTGGGAGGCTCACAAACAATTAAAAACAGTATAAAAAACTCCAAAACAATATAACAGTTTAAGAACAATAAAACCAATATAAGCCAATATAAAAAACATATAGTAAAATTCATAGCTGAGGTGGCCCTATTCATCAATAACAGTCAGAACAGCCACCGTATGTAACACGTGGGTATAATTATATTAACTCTGATGAAACGAATATTTGAGCTTCACAAAATCTAAGAAATGTTTTTGAACCCAAGTGAATTGCACTAAATTTAATGCGACTTTCTTTCCAGCAAGTATGTTTGATTCTCAAATTATTATTCTATTTGGCAGTTTAACAGTTTTAATCAGTGAAAACTATTAAACAATGATGGTTACTTACCATAATTATGCCACATTAAATAAGGAGAACAAATCTGGCCAAATTAATTTTTTTAAAAAAATCTTATAGTATACAGTACCTTGATTCAAAGCAATTGGCCAGCCCACCCCATACCAACATCATATACAGTATTAGCTAAAGTTATGGATTCTCATGCATATTACTTGAGAGGAAATCCAATTAAATTCAGCAAGGATGGGGAGGGGGACAGTAAGGGTGCCGTTATTCATCCCCCAAACAGAGACATCCACAGTTGGAGGGGGGGGCAGTGGTATTGAAATGGTAGAGGTAGCCAGGTCATTAAAACCTGACTCCTTTTTAATGTGCATCACACTTACTGTTGACCACCCTGCAAATGCCTGTGCCCCCAAAGCACACACAGAAACAACTGGCCACACCCATTTTGGTAAACACTGCCCAGAGTTATGTTTTGTGAGATGGGGGGTATATAAATATGGCAAATAAATAAATAAACACTAGGACAAAACAAAGGGCAGCTTTGAAGCCCACCCCTGCTTGATGCTTGGGAAGGGTAACACATCATACATTATGCCTTCCCTTGGAGTTCACCACTCTGACTGTCCTATTTTACTGTAAGTTACTTCAACAACAACAACAAAAGGGAAGTTGGTGTTCTGCAAAATACTCATAGAATCATCTTTATTTAAAGCATGGCTGGCTGGGGAATTCTGGGAGTTGAAGTCTACTCATCTTAAAGTGGCCAAGTTTGGACAACACTGATTTAAAGGAATGCCTGTAGGGCCTACATTGGCTGCATAGCATCCTTAGAAAATAAAAATTACAGTTGGCTGCAACCTAGGGGCAAGGGCTGGGAAGTGCTATAGACAAGTGGTGATGGTAGGAAGGATGATAGGATAATAGTAGTGGGAATATATACAGAGACAATAGTAATATTTGCATACAGTATTTAGTTCTGTATTAAGAATGCTAATGCACAGATTTCACATATCTAGTCATGCATATTAAACAGATTATGAAACAAATACCTTGCATTTTTACAAATTTACCACAGCACAGGAAACATTTACCTCATAGTGAAAGTATAACCAAAAAGTGTTAACCTGAACATATGATATTTTCTTGGTGGTTTTAACAGTAAAACAGATACTCATTCTAAGGGCAGAATAAATCCTTTGATGATATATAAAATGTCCAAGGTCTCCTCCAGTGTAACAAAGGCATTTAGTAATTAAACTTAAACTTGCTTTATCCTTTAAAAGAAGTGTGTTGATTCTTTGCTTTGAAAATGTTCAATAGCAAATTGTAAAATATTTCATAACAAGTCTACATATATACTCTAAATGCCTTAAATGTGCTGAGGTCACATATGCATGTTACAGTATTAGTTAATGTCTTATGTTAACTAATTAATTAATTAATCTTATAGATTGCAAATGACCCTGAACACACCATGAGTTTTTCCTCATTTGTTTCTTAGCTGTGGCACAGAATCCTCCAGCAACCTCTTCACCAGACTTCATCTGATTCTCTGCCAATATGTGAATCAGTCTTAAGTCATCTTTGTCAGTACCGGTGCTACAGTTCTGTATGTATCAGATCGGGCAAGCATGACTTAATTCATAACTTTTTAGCAACTGGCTAGCAGCAAAACCTTTAAGAACTCAGTATCTACCTACCTACCTGCCTGCCTGCCTGCCTGCCTGCCTGCCTGCCTACCTACCTACCTACCTACCTACCTACCTACCTTTCCATCCATCCACCCATCCCCAGGGTTAGATCCTCGGTTCCTTGCTGCTCTTTTCCTGTACTGGAATATGGAGGGCACCTCCATCTTGTCTGCATAATGGTCTTGTTTGATCTAAGTCCTTTGCTTTTTATCTTGCCAGCTTCAACTTTTACAGATTCCCCCTTATTCCAACACAGGTTTTGCCATGGATGCAAGCTGATTCATTTTACCAAACTTTTGGTAGTTAACATAGTCACATGGCCCTGTAGGGGATAAGATCAGCCTGGTACCTACTGGCTGCTACAGCCTGGTGGGGGCATGTCCACTCCCTTCTGCCCTCTGGGCACTGTCTTCT